CTGCTGCTGCTGCTGTGGTGGCTCAGGCTGCTCCTGCTGCTCCTGCTCCTGCTCCGGTCCTGGTCCAGGCTCAGCTTCTGCGGTGTTGCTGGTGGACATGTTTCGGGAGTATCGGGAGTTGTTGGTTTGGAAGATGGAAAAACTCGGCAAAAGTTGTCAGCAACAGAAGAAAGCGAAGAAAGCGAGGCAAAACATCAAAACAAACGGCCGACTGAGTGCGCGTAGCCGCTGCTGCTGCTGCTGCTGTTAAAATCGCCGTCGAGTGAAAATCAAAACAAACGACCGCTTTCTCTTTGCTTTCAAGGTTCAGTTTTTCAGGTGTCCTGGTCCTGGTCACCTTCAGCGTTTTTCTGGTAAACTGATTTTATCTGAAAATTCTAATTCATCTAGCAATCATTCTAACTGTATACTTTTTTGCTAGGTGATCTATCTTTTAATTAAAACGCACAAGTCAGTCTCTAACCAAAGTGCGCATCACATTATCATCAACAAAACGGGAGTTTCATTACCACCACTAAACTCCTTTCTTCTTCACCAAAAAAAAAATGCCCGTCCGCTTCATCCTCCGCTTTCTCTCGCACTTCGCCAACAACGAGCAGATGGTCAGTCGGCTGGCGGAGTCGCGGCCCATTCGGCGGTCCGCCCAGTTCGTCGCCTACCTCTACCACCGATCGGTGGACTTGATGCAGTCGTCGGGTGCCGTGAGGACGCAAAGCAGCCGTCTGCTCACTTTTAAGGACCGCTTCACCAGCGAGCTGAAAGCGGAAATTGAGGCGGCGAAGGAAAAGTTGAAAAAGCAGCAGTAGTGATTACGCTTTCTGTTTTTCATTCTCGAGCTTACTTGACCTTCACCCTTCAATGATAGTTTTTTTTGGCTGTAAATAGTGTATCTTCAAGCGGATGATGATCTTTAGGACTGATTGTTGATTTATTTATTGAAACTCCCTCCCTCCCTCTCTCTCTCCTCAATATTAGAAATTAAAAGTTGCACCTGCTTTTCGAACTGTTCTTTTCGGCGTGTTTTGAGCTCAGTTTGATGTGTCACTTAAACTAAAGATGCTGATACTTTGTCAGTTTACTAAAAGCGACAAAACAGCAGTCATGGACTTGTCTGAAAACATGACCGAAGAGCCTTCAACACAATCTCCCAAACCGACGACCTCCTTTAAACTTCCTCCTCTTCAAAGTTCTTCACCACCTTCACCACTACCTTTACCACAACCTCTTCCAATTATCACCACCACCACCACCATTCCTTTGAAGCAACCTCACCACATCCTCTTCGACATTTGGGGCGTCATCACCTCGCACACCTTCCGCACCGATCTCTACCAGTACCTGGAGAGGGAGGACGTGCTGGAGTCCTTTCTCCAGGCCAGCTTTCACACCCCCGAAGTGGAGCGCTTCCTCCAGGCCTTTGTCCTCAAGAACATTTCGGATCGAGGTGAAAAAGGATACCAGCAGCTGCCCATCATCGGCCTCGCCGACTGCTGCGACGACAAGCGCTCCAAGGTGGCCAGCCTGGCGAAGAAC